CCGATAAGCCCCAAATGGGCGTCGCCCCGAGGCAATTATCGCCCCGGGCCATGGCGGGGGCCCTGGCGCGGCGCGGTTCCTTCTACAGGCTGAGCTTCATGTCCAAGATGGCGGCATAGATGTCAGGGTTCAAGGGCACGTAGGACGACTTCTTGTCATCGCGGAAGAAGAGCGGGTCTTTGATGACGTTGGGGTCAAAGCCTTCTTTGACGAGGTTGCCTTTGCACTGCTTGAAGGTCCCCGTGGTCTCCAGGGCATTCTGTGGAGGTGGGTGATGTCATCAGAAGTGGGGAGATGGAGGGCGTTGGCAGCGTTGGAGTGATTGGGCACCGCCATCAGAAATGGGGGACCTCAATGCCGTCATCGGCAATGTGGGGGACCAATGCCGTGATCAGAAATGGGGGACCTCAATGCCATCATCGGCAATGTGGGGGACCAACGCCATGATCAGAAATGGGGGACCTCAACGCCGTCATTGGCAATGTGGGGGACCAATGCCGTGATCAGAAATGGGGGACCTCAGTGCCATCAGAAATGGGGGACCTCAACGCCATCATCGGCAATGTGGGGGACCAATGCCATCATCAGAAATGGGGGACCTCAACGCTGTCATCGGCAATGTGGAGGACCAGCGCCGTGATCAGAAATGGGGGACCAAGGCCATCATCAGAAGTGGGGGACCTCAACACCATCATCGGCAATGTGGGGGACCAACGCCGTGATCAGAAATCGGGGACCTCAACACCGTCATCAACAAGGTGGGGGGGAGCAGCACCATCATCATAATTGGGGGACCTTGATGCCATCATCGGCAGTGTGGAGGACCAACGTTGTCATCACAGATTGGGGACCTCAACACCATCATTGACAACGTGGGGGAGCGGCACAGTCATCGGAAATGGAGGACCTCAACGCCATCATCGGCAATGTTGGGGACCTGCACCATCATCAGAAATGGGGGACCTCAACGCCATCATCGGCATTGTTGGGGACCAACGCCGTCATCAGAAATGGGGAACCTCAGCGCCGTCATCGGCAATGTGGGGACCTTGATTTCATGATCAGAAATGGGGCACCTCAACGCCATCATGGATAATGTGGGGGAGTGGCACCATCATCAGAAGTGGGGGACCTCAATGCCGTCATTTGGATTGTGGGGGGGACCAATGTTGTCACCAGAAATCGGGGACCTCAATGCCGTCATCGGCAATGTTGGGGACCAACGTTGTCACTAGAAATGGGGCACCTCAACGCCATCATTGGCAATGTGGGGCGACCAACGTTGCCATCAGAAATGGGGGACCTCAATGCCACCATAGGCAATGTGGGGGACCAACACCATCATCATAAATGGAGGACCTCAACGCCATCATTGGCAATGTGAGGGACAGTGCCATCATCATAAATGGGGGACCTCAACACCATCATCGGCAATGTGGGGACCTTGATTTCATGATCAGAAATGGGGCACCTCAACGCCATCATGGATAATGTGGGGGAGTGGCACCATCATCAGAAGTGGGGGACCTCAATGCCGTCATTTGGATTGTGGGGGGGACCAACGTTGTCACCAGAATTGGGGGACCTCAACGCCACCATCGGCAATGTGGAGGGACCAACACCATCATCAGAAATGGGGGACGTCAACACCATCATCGGCGAAGTGGGGGACCAATGTCATTATCAGAAATGGAGGACCTCAATGCCATCATCAGCAATGTTGGGGACCAACGCTGTCACCAGAAATGGGGGACCTCAACGCCATCACCGGCGATGTGGGGGACCTTGCTGTCATCAGCACAGGGCGGGGGTCCAGGTGCCATCGTCGGCAATGGTGACCCCTGCGTCATCAGCATGGGGGCACGGATGGTGTCATCGGAACTGGGGGGACCTGCGTGGTGGCATTGGCGCGAGCTGACCACCCGTTGGCACAGGGTCACCACCGCTGCCACGGGAAAGGAGGGACCTTGACGCCATCATCGGAGTGGTGGGACCGACGTGGTCATCGTCACAGGGTGACCCTGACGTCATTGATCTGGGGCGACCCCACCGCCATAACTGGCACCATCACCGGAAAAACCAATGTCCCCCCAAAAGCCACCCCAGGGTGAAGCTGGGCCCGCTGACCTGGATGCGGATGAAGCGGGGGGCGGCGTAGCTGGGCAGCGTGTCCCTGGTGAAGGTGTAGAAGTTCTCGCCCTCGAAGCTCGCCCCGGCCTTCAGGCAGATGGCCGCCATGCCGCACCTCCCCTCGCATCCTGCGAACAACGTCGGGGGGGTTATTTGAGGCAACCGAGTCTCATCTCATTCGTCTTGGTGGCCACCTGGACCATGATGAGGACCTGCTGCATGCCCAGAACAATGTTGGACAGTTATTTTGGGTGGATGTGTCCCACTTCAGGCTTCTTGGTGGCCACTGGGACCATGATGGAGACACATCATGCACCCAAAACAACGCTGGGTGGTTATTTTGGGTGAACGTTTCCCATTTGAGCCTTTGTGTGGCCACCAGGACCATGATGAAGACACATCATGCACCCAAAACAACGCTGGGTGGTTATTTTGGGTGAACGTTTCCCGTTTTAGCCTCTATGTGGCCACCAGGACCATGATGGAGACACATCATGCACCCAAAACAACGCTGGGTGGTTATTTTGGGTGAACGTTTCCCATTTGAGCCTTTGTGTGGCCACCAGGACCATGATGAAGACACATCATGCACCCAAAACAACGCTGGGTGGTTATTTTGGGTGAACATTTCCCGTTTTAGCCTCTGTGTGGCCACTTGGACCAGTACAGGAGGACACGGTGCCCAAAATGACAAGAGATACTAATTTTGGGCACCCAAGTTCCCCTTTATGCTTCCTGGTGGCCACGTGGACCATCATGGAGACATGACAGTTGCCCGGAACACCACCAGATGCTGCTTTTGGGCGACCAAGTCCCATTTTACTTTTCTTGGTGGCTACTTGGGGTATGTTCCGTGCCCAAAACGATGCTGGATGCTTGGTTTGGGTAACCAAGTCCCCCTTTAACCTTCCTGGTGACCACTCAGACCTTTACAGGTGCACGTGGTGTGCCAAAGCCACACCAGAAACTTACGTTGGGTCCGTAAGTCCTACTTTAGCCTTCTTGGTGGTCAGTTGGACCATGATGTGGACATGTTTCTTGCCCCAAACACCAACAGATGCTTCGTTTGGGGCCACCTAGTCCTGTTTTGCTCTTCTTCGTGGCTGTTTGGACCACTGTGGCAGGAAACACGAGCCCGAAACAATACCACACCCTCATTTTGGGTCAAGGAGTCCAGAAATGGCCATGTGGTTGGACTAGATGATCCATGTAGGTCCATTCTATTCGACTTTAGACTTCTGGGTGGCCGCTTGGACTATTTGGGGACATCCCATGGCTGAAACATCAGCAGATTCTGATTTTGGTCCAACCTGCATCCTCCCGCACCACCAAGTACTCACCTGGCACGGACACTCCGTAGACATTGACCTCCTGGATGAAGTTCACCATGGCAAGAGTGGCCTCCACCTCTGTCGTGGCCACGTTCTCACCTTTCCAGCTAGAGTAGATGAAGGATGAACTTGTGAGGGGGACGATTTGGGCTGGCCGGTGGCATTGCCCACCCGGATGTGGGGGTGAGAGCATCAGAGTTACCGGAAAGTGTCTCCCACGCGGTCCTGGAAGTAGATGAATCTCTCCTCATCGATCATGAGGAGGTCGCCACTGTTGAAGAACATGTCACCTTTGACCAAGACGTTCCTCAAGATCTTCCGCTCTGTCTTCTGGAAATCGCCCGCGTAGCCGTGGAAAGGGGTGTTCTTGGTGATCTTCACGACCAGCAGCCCCGTCTCACCTTCAGGGAGGGAAAGGAGGGTTGGAAGCCGGTCAGCGACCACCTCGGTCCTGGGGAATGTCACCTCCGTGCCCCACTGGGTGCTCGGGGGTGACATTCTTTCTTTGAGGGGTTTCTGGTGGCTTCCAGCCGCCGAGATGACGGTGATAAGGACCAGGAGGTGGCTTGGCTGCATCTCAACCTGCCTTTCCTCCTAAAAAGGCCCTCATAAGGCTCGTCTCTTCTTACCGGGGCGGACTCGGATGCAGAGACCTCGCTCGTCGCGTACGGCTTGGTCCTCCTCCACGTTGTACTTGATCAGCTCAAAGTGAGCGAAACTCTGGAGGGGACAAAGAGAGAAACTGGTGGGTGGAAGAGAAACGGGGGGAGAAAAAATGAGCGAGCAGACTTTCCTTCCAGGGCCAGGTCCAGTCCTCCATTGCTCGTTATGACCCAGGGATATGCGTCCTCCCCTCCCCCAATCCCAGCGTCCTGGGTGGCCACCTAATCGCCGTCTATATTTAAATGAGATTTAATCGAATAGATCCAACCGTTGACCAAGCTCATCGCGATGAGCTCTCAAATGAAAAGAGCCGTGGGGCAATCACAGAATCACAGAATGGTAGGGGTTGGAAGGGACCTCTGTGGGTCACCCAGTCCGAGCTTCCTCTGCTTCAGTTTGTGCCCGTTGCCCCTTGTCCTGTCGCTGGGCACCACTGCAAAGAGTCTGGCCCCGTCCTCCTGACCCCCACCCTGCAGATATTTATGGGCATTTCTAAGGTCCCCTCGCAGCCTTCTCTTCTCCAGGCTGAACAAGCCCAGCTCCCTCAGCCTCTCCTCCTAGGAGAGATGCTCCAGTCGCCTCCTCATCCTCGCAGCCCTCCGCTGGACTCTCTCCAGTAGCTCCTCATCTTTCTTGAACTGGGGAGCCCAGAACTGGACACAGGACTCCAGATGGGCCTCACTAGGGCAGAGCAGAGGGGGAGGAGAACCTCCCTCGACCTGCTGGCCACACTCCTCCTAATGCACCCCAGGATCCCATTGGCCTACTTGGCACCCAGGACACGCTGCTGGCTCATGGTCAACCTGTCGTCCCCCAGCACTCCCAGGTCCCTCTCCGCAGAGCTGCTTTCCAGCAGGTCCACCCCAAGCCTGTACTGGTGCCTGGGGTTGTTCCTCCCCAGGTGCAGGACCCTGCCCTTGCCCTTGTTGAACCTCATCAGGTTCCTCTCTGCCCAACTCTCCAGGCTGTCCAGGTCTTGCTGGATCCAGCACAACCTGCCGGTGTATCCACCACTCCTCCCAGTTTGGTGTCATCAGCAAACCTGCTCTAACTCTTCATCCAGGTCATTGATGAAGAAGTTGAACAGGACTGGGCCCAGTACTGACCCCTGGGAGACACCACCGGTTCCAGGCCTATGCCGAGAATGCCGGGAGCTGCGACTGTGGGGGAAGAGGTGGGGAAAAACCTCGTTTTCACGGCTTCTGCTCGACACGTGGGTGGTTGGGGACTGAGGAGCAACACCAAAGTGGCCTTTCTCGGGTCCGTAGACCGTGGACATTCCAAAACTCAACTCTGAGTCAACTGTTGAGTTGGCCAACCAAGTGGTGGGGAGGGGTTCTTTTGGGTGTGAAAAGTGGGGGGGCTTGGAGATCCTGGTTTTGTGTCGACCCAACCCGATGGATGGCGTTGGCTTCCCTGGGCGTGGGTCACCATTTACGCCACTGTGAAGAGGGTATGCTGGAGACCCCCACTCTTGGCATCAACCCGGCTTGAGCTGCACTATTGGTCTCCTCAAGGCAGTCAGCGTTTGCTCCCCCCCGCCCCCATCATCGTCATCACCTCACCCTGAGGAACACGTTGGCTCTGCCCACAGCCCCGATCTTGCCGGTGTAGTTGATGAAGCCGGCGTTGCCCTCGGTGGCCCCGTAAAACTCGCAGATGGAGACGGGCCCGAAGCGCTGGAGGAACTTCTCCCACACCTCTGCTCGCAGGCCATTGCCCAAGGCCATGCGCACCCCGTGTTCCCGGTCGTCGGCGCGCTGTGGGGTGACAAAGGGAGGGACCGTCTCGGCGCGCGCCCCGCGGCGTCGCCTTCCCCCTGGGGTGGATTTCAGGCTGGAAGGGACCTGACCTTGGGCGTGTTGCAGAGGTAGCGCATGAGCTCGCCCACGTACTGGATGACGGAGACGTTGTAGCGGCGGCAGTCGTCCCAGAACTGGGAGGCGGAGAACTTGGCCCGTAGGACGCAGGTGGCTCCTGTGGGGACAAGGCAGGGTGGTTCCCCCTCCCCTTTTCTATCTTTTTTTCCATTTTATCCATCCATCCATCCATCCATCCATCCATCCATCCATCCATCCATCCATCCATCCATTCATCTCCATAAATAATCTGTCCATCCATCCATCTCCATGCAACATCTGTCCATCTCAAATGTCCACCCCACTGTCCATCCCTCACCCCTCTATGGACACAGCTCCTTCCCTTCTTCCTCTTCCCTCTCTCCACACATTTCTCCATCCATCCATCCATCCATCCATCCATCCATCCATCCTTGCCCTATACTGGCCAGGCGACGTGGGGCATGGGGGTACATACCGACCTCGAAGCACCCTCCCACCCCGATCATCAGCCCGGCTGAGTGGTAGAGCGGCAGCGTTGTGTAGATGACATCATCAGACCTCAGGCCACAGAGCCGACCCAGGTTGGCCACCATCATCAGCTTCATCTCTGTGATCACTGCTGCCTTGGGCAGCCCTGGGGGGTGGGAGCAGAGGGTGGGAAATGTCCTCCTTGGAGATTTCCATGTGGGATGGAAGGTCCTGGGAATGAGGGGTGGGATGGGAAGGAAAAACCCTCCCTCAAGGTGGTGGGTCTCCATCCCTAGAGCTCTCCAAACCTCACTGGGAGGAGCCGTGAGGAACCTCATCCAGATGCACCTGTGTTGGTTGGGGTGGGATCTGGTTTGGGTTCGGGGTTGGATGAGTGAGATCCCACCCCGTCCCAACGAGGACAGACCCAGGGACATGGTGGGTCTCCATCCTTGGAGATACCCAACCCTTGCATGGACACAGCCAGGAGGAACCTGGCCCAGGCTCGTTGGGGGCTGGCAAAAGGCCTCCAGCCTCTCCAGCATCACCCGCACAACCTTACCCACCCAACCCATGGAGGACAACCCCCTTGGGCTCCTCACCCATCACACCCAGACCCTCCCCATCGCCGTTCTCCAAGGAGCAGCCCCTCCTGCCTTGGAGGGGGTTGCTGTCCCCACAACCTCACCGGTGGTGCCGGAGGTGTAGATGTAGAGGGCCTTGGACTCGTGGGTGATGCCGGCTCGGTGGTGGGCGGGCAGGGGCTCATCGGAGGCCTCCTCGATGGCGGGCAGCAGGGCCTCGACACCCGGGGTGGGTGATGTGGAGCTCAGGTAGAAGACACGGATCCCGTCGTGCTGCAGGGCTGGTAGCACCTCCTCCACAGCGGCCTGGAGCTCTGCAGGGAGAGGGGGGCCACGGCCCCGGGTGGATGAGCACCCAAGTGAGGAACCAAAAGGGTCAAGGATGGGCACCCCGTGTACCCCAAGTGGGTGCCTTGATCGGATGGGCACCCCAGCATCGTGCATGGGTGCCCCAAAGATCCCAGGTGGACACCCAAAGATCTGAGATGGGCCACCAGTGCACCCTCAAATGGGCACCCTGATCAGATGGGCGCCAGACATCACTTATGGGTGCCCCAAAGATCCCAGATGGGCACCCAAAGATCCCAGATGGGCACCCAGTGCATCCCCAAATGGGCACACTGGTCAGACGGGCACCCCAGCATCATGCATGGGTGCCCCAGAGAGCCCAGATGGGCACCTGATGTACCCCCAGATGGGCGCCCTGATCGGTTGGGCAGCCCAGCGTCACGGATGGGTGCCTCAAAGATCCGCGATGGGCACCCAGTGCCCCCCAGATGGGCACCCTGATTGGACTGTTACCCTGGCATCATGGATGGGTGCCCCAAAGATCCCAGGTGGACACCCAAAGATCTGAGATGGGCACCCTGATCAGATGGGCGCCAGGCATCATGGATGGGTGCCCCAAAGACCCCAGGTGGGCACCTGATGTACCCCCAGATGGGCACCCCGATCAGACAGGCACCCCGGCGTGGTGGCTGGGTGCCCCAAAGATCCCAGGTGGGCACCCAAAGATCCCAGATGGGCACCCAGTGCACCCCTTGATCATGTAGGGACCCCAGCCACCCCAAATGGGCACCCCAAAGGATCCCAGATGGGCACCCAATGCACCCCTTGATCATGTAGGGACCCCAGCCACCCCAAATGGGCACCTCAAAGGATCCCAGATGGGCACCCAATGCACCCCTTGATCATGTAGGGACCCCAGCACCCCCAACTGG